AAAAAAAAATTTAAATGGTATTAAATTGTCAAGAATAATGATATAAAGAAATTTTTTTATAAATTTTTATATAATTTTATTTCATTAGATTAATAAATAAATTAATATCATATGTTTTAAATGAATAAAAATAATTTTAATTGGATGTTTTAATGGTTAAAAATTTAAAACTTTAAATTAAAGATTTTAAGTTTGAATCTTAAATCATATGAAGAGAAAGTTGGGAATAAGAAAAAATTATTCTCTATTATATAACTCATAATCAAATGTACTAAAAAAAATTAATTATTTAAGTAATATATAAAATTATATAAAAATAATAAAAATTATTTTTAAATTATATTTTAATCATAAAATATAAAGCAATCTCTAATGTCAAGTTGTCCTCTCATTTATTATTATTTTAAATAATTTATTGATTTTAATTATACCGTTCATATTCAACAAATCCTTTTTGTTTTGGAGTAGCGTAGAAAGAATGGCATTATATATTGATGGCTCTAAAGACTCTAAACTCCAAAAGGACAAACAGGGACACCTAGAATTGACAAAAATGTGCACGTGTGTGTGACTACACATCATTTTTTTCTTCGAGCAAGTACAAATTTTAGAAAATAACAGATTTAAAACCAACATTTTGTTGATAAAAGTACATTTTTAATACCGACTCTTAACCAATTCACCACAAATCCAGATGCAGTGAGGAAATACCATATGATTTGACTTGTAGAAAGGGACCATGGTGTGATTAGCCCATACTTTTAACTAATAAAAAGAAGACTTCTAGAGAGCAAGATTTGTCAAAGGAAGAAAAAGAAAATTGGGGAGACGAACTACAAATGCATTTTTGATTAGTCAAAAAATTGGTTACTATTGCAGAGGTTGGATCATGTAATTCGTGCTATAAAAAATGCTAATGGTTTACGATTACAAGAGATCTAAACCTTTAATTTTGACTTTTAAATTAAAATTTTATAATTAATGATTACGGAGTTAACTAGAGTTTTACTTGATAATTATTTTTGAAAGAATATTTATTAACTAAATTTATAAAAAAATTAAGTTAAAAACATTTAAAAATTAAATTATTTTAATAAAACATTACTAAAAAAACCAAAATAGTATTTTTTTTGTTTCGAAAATTATGTTAATTAAGGCTTATAATTTGAGAGTATCCATATGTAGCGGTAATTTTTTTTTTTATCTTGGTTGCACAATGAAAAATAACTATTTTTTATTGTTTATCACATCCTACTTACATGTTATGCAATTCAAATTTAATATCTTTTACTTTCAATAAAAAGAAATAACAATTAATTTACTTAAGTTATTGACGTATGTAGCGCTAATTATTGGTTATTAGTTTTTTAATATTTTAAAAATATATAAAATATATCTAAAATATTATTTTAATTAATATTTTATTTATTTTTAAAATACTAAAAAAACATAAAATGAAAAATTAAAGCATCAAGAAATACTATTAAACAAAACCTTAATCGTTTTTTCATAGGAATTTAAAAGTAAAGGCAATATCATTATTGTTTTAAAAAGTAAGTTAATCTAATTATTTTCAATAGAAATTTATTAGATTTTGAGGAATCTTTCTGTATAACTTTTTACAGAGTCAACAGAGAAACACTTTTTTTTATATTATTTTATTAAGCAAAGATGAAGAGGTACTAAATGAGAAATTCTTTAATCCTAAACAATCTGCTGATGTGGTGAATAAGGATTCGTACTTGTCCTCAATTTATAATTAAGGACCTCAACTATATTTTGTCCTAATTGAGGTCCGGGATTTGGAGCCGCGGCCCAAAAGGCCCAAATTTCTGTCTCTCAAAGGAGAAGCCTCCTTCTCTTCTCCCATCTTCCCTCTCTTCTCCCCAGTGCCTCGCAGGGTCGCAGTTCAAATTTTCTGAGAAAAATGAATTTCAGTGGCAACACCCCAAACTCTGTTACTTTCCCACCATCCAAACAGCTCCAACTCAACCTTCATCAAGCCTTCAATGACTTCCAAACCCACTGTTCCAACCTCTTCACTCACTTCTCCCACCATCTCACCCTCTTAAACCCCGAACCCCACCTCCGCTCCACTCTCTCCTCCCTACAAACCCACGCAAAGAATGCTCTTGACGCCAATTTATCGCGCTTGAATTCATGTGCTGCCTCAAAGACGCGAGCTTGGGCTCGCGTTGTGAATAATAGCCAAAACCCAATAAATTTCAGTCGCAAAGGTGCTGCCTTGTCGAATGACGTCATTGAAGAGAGATTAGAGGGGATTCCCGTGTATGCTTTGAGCAATTCTGATGAGGAATTCGTTTTGCTTTCGGGTACTTCCAATAAAAAGTCTCTTGGGTTGTTATGTTTCAACAAGGAGGATGCCGAGACCCTGCTTGAGCAGATGAAGAGTATGGATCCAGGCATGAGGAGTGGATGCTCTAAGGTGGTTCCTGTTGCTTTGAACAAGGTACTGTTTTTTCTTTGTATTCTTTGATTTTAGGTGTTGAGAAGATATAGTGATTGTTAGTTCCTTTGTCGTTAGATTGATTGACATCAAGATTGTCTGAGATGAAGGTTGTTTGTGGAGTCTAATGTGGAAGTGGGGTTTTGCAGGTTGTCCAGCTAAAGGTTGACGGTGTAGCATTTAGGTTGATACCAGAGTCAACTCAAGTCAAGAATGCTCTTACGGTGAGTGATTTCTGAGAATGAACAGACTAATCTCTTCTTATGTCTTGCCTTAATAATCTAGTCTTTTTACATTTTTATTTCTCCGTGTCTTCTTCACTATGATTTATGTTGTTCATTTTGGTATCAATATAATGATATTCATCAATATCAGCCCAGAGGTTTCTGTTAAACTTGAAGTGAGCTCAGAAGGGGAACTGATGCATTGCGTAACAAAAAAAATCCTTGACCTATGAGATGCTTGAAAATATTTCAAGGTTGATTAGACTGGGGCCATCTATATCAAATAACAAACAGAATATATGAATGATGTAATCTATGAATCAAAAGAGTAATGTTTCATATCAGAAGTAGGGATTGAGAAATCACTATTATTTCTATGATATTTTGAATCAAATTCACTTGCAGTGCTAGCAATAGTGATAAATTTTGCAAGTATGCTTGTTTCAAAGATGCATGCAAATTCTTTTCTAAATTATGATTCACAATTCACAAATGTTCTTTCCAGTTTCCATTTAAATTAGAATAAAGGAAAATGTCTCTTACTCTTCTTCTTATTAGCCCTCTCCCTCTCCCTCCTTTCATTCCTTCTTTTTCACACCTGCATTTGCATTCACAGCCAGCTGTCCATATTCTTTTATGCACAAAGATTTCTTGTCTTTATATTTACTACTTGTTTGCTGTATAAGTATCTGTGCTAGAAAATGATTATTTTTGCTTCTTCTTGTAGGTGAGAGAAAACACTGGTTTCCCTGATGATGTATTCCATGGAGTTCCTGTTTTCCAGGTTCATCTTTTATCACTTCTAGCTTTATGATTCATATTTATAGCAAGTCAAGTGCATTCTTGTGTGCTTTAATTGAGAGGGAAAAGAATATTATGGACATATTAGAAATACATGATAAGGAGGAATTATCTGTTTGATAGAGAGAGTAGCAAGCAAAGTCCTAGTGTAGATGGATCAGCTTGTTGTCATGTTTTATAAGTGAAATCTAGTTTGCCTAAAACTTAGTCAATGTAGTAATTATTATTATTTTTTTAATTGAAATAAAAGATATCTGACTTTCCTATTTATTGTTCAATGTTTATATTTTATTGATCTGTATTTTGTTCTCTTACCCTTGCTGATCTACTGTGCCTTGAATCCGCTAGATGAATACTTCCTCCATTCCATAATAATAGCAAAACAGGTAAATTTATTTAATAAATAAAAATTGAAAACCTCTAACTGTCAATTAACTAATTTTTCAATCAAGGTATTGGATGTAAAACTTTAAAATTTACTTTTTCCCTATTCTATTAACTAACTGAAATCTCTGTTCTTTCTTTGACATTTACTATTATTAGGGTATGCAAAGTTGCTTAATATTTTGACCATGTTTTGTACATGGGCTGCATTTAGTGGCCCATTTGCTTTCCACTCTCCCGTTAAGAAAATAATTCTGGTTGTGTAGTTCTTTGGATGATGGATGTTTTCCTATTAAAGCCAAATGTAAGGCTTAGGTAAAGCACCTTTGAACTCAAAATGAAAAAATGTCAGAAGGATTTCAATGCTTTATAGTGTAACACATTGAAGTTGAGGTACAAGAACAAAGAGGACAGGAGAGGAAGTAAAAGAAGATGAAGATAGGGGCAGAGTTAGAATCGTAGTAAGATGTTTTTTTTTTTTAAGATGGCTCGAAGTACATAGAATATGGCTTTTTACTAAATCAATACATGATTTGAGAGTCTATTAAACTCATTTTTATCTTCTCTTATCTATAAAGATATTCATTGATGGTCTTTGTCATTTTGGTCATTCTAGAGATATATCAATTAAACTTGTCTTTACAGTCCTTTCAGGGGTAGAACTTTAATTTCTGCAACTTAGGGCTATTTCTATAGTTTATAAGTTCTTATTTAGTTATTTATTATCAGTTTCTCATTTAAATTCCCAGAGAATAGAGGAATAGTCAAAGCAGCCTTAGTGGTCTAATGATTTATGACTCAGGGTGGATAGATCAACCTGGATTTGGGGCCTACTTGTAAGGACCAGCTTAACATTTTTAGAATGGGAACCTACCCTGTAGAGGTCAATTCTTATTCTGGAATGTACTCCCAAGTCCGAAGGCCAATTTCAACCTCTTCCTGGGTTACCCTATCTGTTTGCTCACCCTAGTCATTATGGCTATCATAATTTTGCAGAAGTGACCTCAGGATGAGGAAACCTGCCATGCTCAACATGGGACATTCTGTGTTGTTGTCAGAATGAGGAAAACCTGAATGGTTTTCATAATTTCATGGATTTATCTAATTTGCTGGTGGCTTAAAGAGTTAAAGTGCCTGGTGTGGCTGGTGCCATGTTCTCAATGTGGAAAGCAAAAACCTGGCTACAAATATAAAAAATATACTCTCTTTGCAACTAGTGATGTTGCTCAAACATGTTTGATTTCTTATTGCATCGAGCATCTAGAGACTATATTAGCATTAGATTTGGCTTGCTCAGTAATATTCTTGTGCTTCTAACTTTTGATTATTATTTAAACTAACTATTTCAGTGTCTTTGTTGCCTACATTTTGTATGATACAGAGTTTAGGGTCTTCCCACATTGTCTGAAATTGTCTGGTTAATGGCATGGATTTAACTTCATCACGGGCTTTTAAATTTTATTTAGGCTGTCTGGGCCAATTTTTTTGGTCTAGTTCTGGGTTAAGCTTGAGAGAGGCTGCCATGAGCTAGATTCTATAGCATCATCTGTTGTAGGGGAAATGGCTCTTATTTTAGTTTGATTTTGGTCCCAGCACATCTACCTTTACTCCTACATGCATCTTGGATGGCTTCTAGGGTAATTTTTCAAATTGTTAAAACATTTGTATTTCAGTCCCAGAACTTGATACTGAGAAGTGGAAACAAAAGTTATCGGCCAGTTTTCTTTAGAAAGGTTAGTTAAAGGTAATTATTTATATGTGTGCTCTTTTGGTTAGTCTCTGGTTTCCCCTAAAAAATTACTTTCATTTTAAACTTTTACTAGGAGGATTTAGAGAAATCACTAGAAAAGGCTTCTCGACAGCAGCGCCAACTAAATCCTGCCTTCAGAAAGGAGGATATTCAGGTACTGTCTACTCTTTCTTATTCCATTAGCAAGGTATTGTTTTACAGAAATGTGTTGTGCAGTCTTAAACTGTTTCCTGGTGTGTGCAGTCCAGCACAGTCTGGATTTCAAAACCAGGAACTCATCGTTTTATGGTATTTGTTAAAGAATAACTTCTCCTTGCTCTTTAACTTTTCTCTATCTTTTCAAAAATTTTGTAGGTTGCTGTTTTTGAGGAAATAGTTAACGGGATGAAGGTAAGCAGCCTTTATTATGACTATGAAAGTCATATCAATCATTTTGGTCTATACCATAGAAGATGGTGCATTAAAAAGGAACTATTATTTTAAATTGTAAAGCTGAAAGCCTGAAACAACAATTAAACTCTGCAGGACAGTGCTACTACAAAGTGGGATGATGTTGTATTCGTCCCTCCTGGTTATGATGCTTCAACTGATCCCAGCCAGCTATCGAAAACGGCATAAGGAGGTTATAATTGTAGACTATAGAATATTATGTATAGTTTAGTTTCTTTTAAGTTGTGGCATGAACTTGCATCATGCATTTCACATGTCAATTAGGGATTAAATTGCTGTTTACATGAATTATTATGTTTAGTAAAGCAACTGAAAACAACCCAGAATTGATGATTTCGAGGGATTTATGAACCCGAAACGGGGTTAATCTATTTTAACCAAGCTTTTCCTGTTCAGCTTGTTTGTTACACGAGAATCTTATGATGAGAATTAACAACTACATATTACATGAAAAAAAGAAAAAAGAAAAAAGATCAAACTCCTTATTTGCATTCTAAACGTTATTGTTTTCCGTAATCAACATATTTCAGAATTTGAAATCTATAAAGTACACAAAAGGTAATGACCAAACCCCCTATTTAACCTTGACATAATGTAATCCGATTGTTAATTTTAAGAATTTTTTTTTAAATTTCAAATTATGAAAAATGTTCATCAAAAGTGAAAATTTTATAAGATATTGATTGCAAAAAAACAATAATGTCGAGGGTGTGGCCAAAAAATGATAGAGAAAAGAAGGCAGATTCTTGGAAAGATGATTTATATTACATTTGGTGGGGACAGAGTACTTTTGTGTTGATCCCAATGATGTATGGGGTGGTTTTAATAGGAGCATGATTATTAGTGATGATGATATAGAAACTAAGATGTTTTCATGTTGAAAACATTTTAACATTACGCGTCTAATGTGACACGGTCCAGCAATTAGGAAAGGAATATCTTTGAAAAAGACAATAATGCTGCAGGGTGAGGCCCCATCCACCGCCGCGCCTGCTTGCTTGCTTCATTTTTGTTGTTTTGACTGTCCATACCTCTATCATGTGGTGACAATGTGTCTGTCTTCATGCATTTCATCTTCGCCAACACGTTGGACTATAGTTTCCTCATGAGATTCACCAGAGTCGTCTCTCTCAAGCATACATGCATTTGCTGGTTTCTGTGGAAATTTCAGATGAATATACGGCATCCAACTGTAGAAGTTCCTAGATGATTCCTAATGTATAACAGTGTAGGTTTTGGACTCTAGAAACTTGGAACCTATTTACAACCTGGAAATCGTAATGACTAATACGACAAGCTCGATAATATTAATTGTATTCTTAATCTGTATTCATTGTTGAAAAAATGACAGATACTGTGAGACAAAGAGGGAGTTAGATAGATAAGCTGGTGGATATCTTGACTGATCTATATGATGCCATAAAAGTGTTTTTAATTACCAACGACTGGTTGAATTAAGTGGTAAGCGGCTTGTTCTAGTTTAAACAAGGTCTCGAGTTCGAAATCTTGTGTACGCAACAGCCTTTGTTAGGAGATTCACCCACTATTTTCATGTGCACGATTGAGGTCGATCTGGATTAGTCGGGACGAAACCCTAAATACTGGACGGAAAACAAAAAAAAAAAGTGTTTTTAATTAGCAACGAGTGGTTGAATTAAGTGGTAAGCGGTTTGTTCTAGTTTAAACAAGGTCTCGAGTTCGAAATTTTGTGTACGCAACAGTCTTTGTTAGGAGATTCACCCACTATTTTCATGTGCACGACTGGGGTCGATCTAGATTAGTCGAGGCGAAACCTCAAATACTGGACGGAAAACAAAAAAAAAAGTGTTTTTAATTGTTTGTAGAAAGGGTTATTATGAGGAGACAACTGGAGTCTCCTAGTTGCTACCTATATATTCACAGGTATATGGATGTAAATTAATTGACCCAAGGGATTACAGTTTACTGATAGAGCAATTGGTTTATTTTCTTCCCAGGAATCAATACATGCAACCGTGAACATTACAGCTCAAAATTGAGACATGGTACCATCCAGAGGGAGCAGGTAATTGGTTGAACAGATTACTTGCAATGACATTTTTCTTTAATTAATGGGTATTAATTCAGCTAAGTTTGTGTTAATACCATTTATCATTTTGTTTTTATAGTTAACAATGCCATAGCAAATTATAATTGAAGTCATAACGAAGTTTAGTGAGTAAATTGATGTCTTAAAAATTTTCAGTATTTTAACTTTTAGTTTTTTTTTTAATATTTTAAA